GCCGCCGCGGTACGGCCACTTGGCGCGCTCCAGGCCGTAGTCGCGGAAGGCCACTTCGCGCACAGGCTGGACGTGTGTCGCTAGGTTGGACGAGTAGGGGAAAGTCATCTGGCAGGACGACGGCTGCGACAGGAACGACGGCTTGCTGGCGAAGTCCGACGGGGCCACATAGTAGGCGCAGCCGGGCAGGTACATGCTGGCTGCGCTCGGGCCGCACTCGTCAAAGTCGTTCATGGCTCCGCGGCGTGCGCGCCGGCGAGCCCCGGGCCGCTCCCCGCGCCGCCAACCTGAGCCATCGATTGCACAAGAGGCTTGGGCCAGGATCAACTAAGCAAAAATCCCCACCGGGCGCTGACGTGCAATTCATCTTGATTGATTCTGGTGGTAATTATGTCACGTGACGCCATGGAGAGAAATGTCCTTATATCTATATCAACGCTCGCCAACACGCCCCGGGACGGCTCCTGGCGCCGAGGCGAGCGCGCTGGGGGCAGACTGGCCTCCCTCTCCCGCCAGCTCTCCCTGAGCTCCCTGTGATCGGGCTGCGCCGCAGGCCGGTCACCTGCGCGCCGCCGGCGGCTGCCACCACTGGGCGCATCTGCCACCGCCCAGCCGGGCCGCCCGCCCGCGCCCGCCCGCCCGCCTCGCTTTAAGTACGCGGACAGAGGCCGGCGGGGAGGAGGAGGGAGGGGGAAGAAGGAGGAGGAAGGGGGAAGGGAGAGAAGCGGCTAGCGGAGGGGGGAGCCCCTGCCCAGGGCGCAGGGGACTAGGTGTGAGGGTGTGAGGTTCCCACCCCCCCACACACACACCCCTTCCTGCAGCCGTTCCCTCCCCCGCAACGCCGCCACCCTCCTCAGCTCGCCCGCCCACCGGGAGCTTGTTGCTTCTTGTTCAAGGGGTGTAATTGCGCTGCTCTCTAGGGCAGCGGGAACCCTGATTTACATATTTCTCTGCCTGGCTCGTTCCCCGCGTAAGAACTTGGCTCTATCCACTCCTGACCCTAGAGGCGCGAGTGCCGGCCTCAAAAATCCCACGCCAAACCCCTCCCAGGCGCTCACCAGGGCCAGGGCCTCTGAGCTCACCCGGCCCTCTCTCCTGCTCTCTTCCTCTCTGATTCCCTTCTTCCCTCTCTCTGTTCCTCCCCTGCCCCTTCCTTCTCCTCCCTTCAGGCTTCTTGCTTCTTCTTTTCTCTCTCTCCCCTCTCTTTTCCTCTCTTACTTCCCTCGCCGCCTCCTTTCTCCCATCTCTCTGTGTCCTCTTAGCCTCTCTCCTCCTTCCCCTAAGCAGTATGTTTCAGTGTCAGTCTCTCTCTCCAGTCTTCCCTCAGCCTTCTCCTGCCCAGTGCTACAAGGAGAAGGATGATCGGCCAGCTGAGTCGTCCTGTGGCCCCAGCCTCCCCGAGAAGCTCGGGGGTCAGGGGAACAAAAAGATCTGGAGTCCTGCTCTTAGGTGCCTGGCCTCCTACTCGCCTCCCACAAGAGACCAACAACCCGCGCCTCCGCCCGCCTCACCCCTTCGCCTTTCCAGCCTGGCCTGGGACGACCAGCTCGCCTCACACCCAACCCCTTCCTGCATGGCGCATCCACTACGCATCTCCCCAGGCTCTTCAGGCGCTTTGGGGCCACGACAGTCACTGTGGCCCCCCAGGAGGTCCATTGGCTCTGGTGGGGGGGAGGCTCTTGGCAGCATCTGCCTCCCGGTTCGAGCCCCCCTGCGCCGTCCGGCCTAGAAGCTGGCTCTTCATTGCCCCCATCCACTCGCTCCAAGGCCTCACTCTCCTCCGATGCCGCAGCGGCCCGCTTTCCGAGCCCAGGGGTCCAGGCGAGGCCTGGGGTCCCGCCTCCAGGAGGGCAGGCACTTTCCAAAGGTAAAACCAGTCTCTCCAAAAGAAGCTCCCAACCCCAAATCCCAGAATCGAAGTCAGGAGACCGCCCCTCTGCCCAGGCAATCCCAGCACTGGGAGGTGGGCCTTAGCTCTACGCCCACGGTAGACCGGGCTGGCTGTGGGGCTAGCTCCGTCTCTGGCCCAGGTCACCGCAGTGCCGGTGCCGTGCACTCTGCCCACTCTGCCGACAGCCAGAGAAAAGGCGGCTGGTCGGAACTAATATCTATTTTCTGGCCAATATTCCTCCTTCCTAGCTCTTTTTCCCTCCCTCTCCTTCCTCCACCCCCTCCCACTCCTACTTCCCTCCCCGAACACTGCGCAAACAGGTCCGCGGCTGCTGGAGACCATCCACTAAACCTCCCCCCACCCAGAACTGTCCATCCTCGGCTGCCCCTCCCCGCAGCTAGCAGCCTCGCCCGCATTCCAGCTCACCCCCTTCTCCTCAGCCCAGACCTCGGGGACACTCATCTGTCTTCTCATCTCCATCCACTGACCAAGCCGCTCCCTTTCGGGTTCGTGGTCGACGCCCCTGGATCTCTCTCCTAAAATGGCTCCCCGGACACTGCACACTGGCCCTGCGGCTGCTTAGGACCCAGGGCAGCGGCGCCAGGGCCCTCAGCATCGGTCTTTCTCGGTGTGGGGGTGCGCAAAATTCCTGCATCTGTTCTATGCTCGCCGAGTGGGACCGGGCGCAGGCAGCCGGCCGCCCCCAAAGCGGAGCTGGCTAAGTGAAAGGGGGAAATGGGGAGGACGAACCATTCAAGTTCAACGACATGGCGATGGCGGCGACGGCAGGAGCCGAGCTTTGGCGGGGGAGGGTGCGCCATCTGCAGCCGCGCGCGGGCGAAGAGGGGAAGGGGGCAGCGGGCCCCTTTCCGTGCATCGGCGTGGACCCCCGCCCCCACATCCAACCCTGGGCTTTCGTTCCCGGCCCTGCCGGATTCTCCCTTAGGCCCTAGCCCCCCTCTTGGTCCTCGGTCCTCTTCCTAGACCCCAGGGAAAACCGCAGCCTCCGGACCCGTGCGTCCCGCTCCAGAACCTACCGTGAAGATCCTGGCTCTGTGGCCTTGTCCTCCGCCTGCGCGGCCCCACCCGAAACGCAGGACGCGCACCCAGTCCGCTGGACGCAGCCGGCAGCTCTGCGAGAGGTAGCTTTCCGCGCAGCGCGAGGACACGATGTGGTATTTTTGAACCACCCAAGATAAGACACTAACTTGACCTTAACTTTGTCAGGGCGCCCCTGGTATCTGGAGAACGTGAACAGACACTGTCTGGCAGCTCTCGTAAAAGCTGACTGGGGAAGGGATTCTGAGTCATTTCATTTATTGCCACTACAGTTCTGCAAGGAAGCTTTTCCTCTCTGCCAAACTTTAATTATTTATGCTCTTTTAGGAAACGAAAGAAGAGAAAGGGGGGGCCTCCAGAGCCAGTCCCCTCCTAGCAGAGCCTTCGGAATGGGTACCTCAAGTGAAGCGACAGGAAAACAAAAATACAGGAAGATCACCTTTGTCCAAGGACGATCGGACAGGCGCCGTGCCCCCACCCCCATCCTTGAAGGGGGTGGACGCAGCTGGGAGAGGCGGGGTGGAGGGACACCCCCACAGACGCGCAGACGCGAATATTTACAACGGTTCCGGATTTCTCCTCCGCCCGCCGGCCTCCCGGAAGCTTCCCCAGCCCGCCTCCCTCGGGAAGAGCCCCCAGGCCTTAAAAAGCGTTCCCGGGTGGGCCCTCTGAGCTCGCAACCGATTTAGTGCCAGACGAGGCCATTTTTTTTCCGTTTCTAAAACCGTTTTCTTATCCGAGAGGCCCACGCGGACTGCAGTATTTCGGAAGACGCGTTTGTCTTTGTGCTAGGGAAAGTTGAGCACTCAGATTTCGGCATCATTTGTCTCCCGGCGTTTGTTTCTTACGCATTTCGCGGTGGTTCCGAATCTCGGCCGGCCGGAACCTCCGCTGGGGAAGGAAAGACGACACCGCCGTCTTTGTATTTGTCTGGATCAGTAAGGGGAAGAGAGTTGGGAAACACTTCTAAGCCCCCAACCCACAGACAAGCTTTTGCATGTAGAATAATTTAATTAGCTTTGGGGAGTGGTCTTCATGAATATCCTCTCCCCACACAAGCTCCAGACTAAAGGAAAAGAACGCCGCAATGTAATGGTATATTTTGGAAGAAAAAGGCCTACGTGTGTTGTCTTAGAGCCTGCGCCTGAGAAGTCCGGGTTGCTGCCCCAGCCCTTGGACCCCAAGCTGAGTGCGGCCTCGTCTTTGTTCAGTTGTTGAGGAGGACATGCATCCCCAAGGAAGACTCAGACTCAGACCTGGCTCCGGGTGCCACCTCCTCCCTGCGCCCAGCCAGGTGGGGAAGCATTTCTGCCCATTGGGCCTCGGCAGCCTCTTTTTTTTTCTCCTCAATATGTATATATGTATGTGTGTGTGTAACGATTAAAAATATTTTAAAAAAATACTCATCAAATTAGCTTCAGGGAAGGGGCGTTGGAACACGCAACACTGTAGGTTAGAGATTTAGCCATTTTGCTGATTCTCCATCTTGTTAAAAGCCAGTCATTCTCTGGCTTCCCCCAAGAGCCAGCTTGGAGTTGCAAGAGGACAGTGAGTACCAAAGAGGTCCTGTCTTTCCTGACTTGAGTCAGAGGCTCCGAAGGTCCACGGGACACACAGGCCATAATTCCCGAGGAAGTGGGCTAGTTGGCTCTGGGGGGACAAGTGCCAATATTGAGGATTTCCCAGGGCACAGCCTGTTTGGCAGGGAGAGATGTTTTATTTTGAAATCTGAGCAACTTTAAATTGTAATAATATCCCAAGTAAACAACAAGGTTAGAAGTTTGAGAATTTAGACAAAGTGCAGAAATCCCGGCCTGCAGCAAGCCCAGGGTCCTCATTGCTCAGATCTGTCCATGGCTTCCCCCCTTTTGGACGTTTCATATACATTTTATTCATAGGTGTTTCTACACCATTTCCTGACTGCCTCGGAAGCCATTTTCTCATTTAAGGAACAGTCAACACCCGCCATGAAAAAGCAACCAAGAAAGACAAACGAATTTGGTGTCCTGAAAAACATTAGGAGGAAATCTGAAGCTGTTTGAAAAAACAACATCAGCTTCCTCACCACTTAGCTATACACTGGGTATTTATTTCTGATCAAAGCATTTCTATCTGTGTGGTATATACAAGCTATTGCTTTTGATAAAATCAAAACAAGACAAAACATGCATGACAACTCCTAGCTAGAGACATGCAGTCCATCTAAGCAGTCAACCAAGGTCAATGGAGCTGAGGCTTAGGGCTCCCTGGGAGTGCCCACTCCTCGCTGAAGCTCAGGGCTGCCACAGAATAGAAGCCCTTAGACTCTGGTTAGGAATCCTGAATCCTCAGGCTGTCGTGCATCTCAGTAGAAGTTGGGGGCACTGCTTTGAAGAAGGGGGAGGAGAAGAAACAGAGATGGTTGGAGCCTGAGGGCCCTTCAGTTCAATGAGGTTAAGGCTGAATATCCCAGGACATCCAGAACAACGACTACTGGGTGTCCAAGCACCCTAGTCTTTACAGGGTAAGACTGGCAGGGCCCAGGGCCTTGCAGGCTCTGCTGAGGCAGATCGGACATGGCCGCTGAAAGGGATGTGGCTTGGCCTGTAGTGGAGTTGGCCGGTGACAGGGAAGTGAGGAAGGGGGGACTTCTGCTCCTCTCTGCTTGGTCAAGAGGGACGACAAGGAGGACTGTGCTTCTGAGGGGCCTCCTTTCTGCTCCGCGTCTGGAGAAGCTGTCCCTTCCCTCTCTCCCCGTGGTGGGGCATTAAGGTAATTCAAGAAAGAAAGACACATTGTCACCTTGCCCCACTGTGACAGGAAAGGCATATTTACAGTCAGAGTGGGGAAGCCCACTCCCCCTCCCTTTTCCTCCTCTGTATCTTTCCCTCCTCCCTGTGCAGTTGGGACTCAAAGCAGACTGGCAGCTCCCCTCACCAGGGCTGAGTGCTGCTAGGTTCAGGGCCAATTACTGGGGCAGTAGTCCAGCATAGGTATATGTGTGGAGGTGGGAGAAGTAGAGGAATTTTGCCTATCTTGTCTATAGATTGCCCCAGCCTCCCCATCCCATTCCAGGGGGGAAGTCTCCAGCCTGTTCCTCTCATCTGGAGGGGCCAGACCAGGGTGCATTTCTGAGGTATCTCTAAGTTGGTCTGGGCCACCCCTCCCTTCTCCTCCCTTTTTCTCCTGAAGTCTGAAGGTCTAGGGTGGTCTTTGTCCTCACAGGGCTCATGGGAGGGAAGAGACAGCACACTTTCCTTCCTCCACTCGAGATACTGGCTTTTACTTCCACTGAGCAAAGACGGAATTAGGCCACAGCCCTTTCCACTGGGTCTGGAAGGTGACCTAAATTCACTTCCAGTTTGAGCTCTCGTTAGGTGCCTGCTAAACGAAGAAAGAGCTGGAGGAGGGGAAAAGAAGACTAAACCAGGTGAAAGCAGGAAAATCCAAGTTGAAGGCAGCGAGAATGGAAGCAGAAAAATCCGCGTACAAACAAGGCAGCAAGAATGAAGCCTGGGGCAACACCCCAGCCAAGAGCCAGGAAAGGGGACCACAGGCTCCCACGCGGAAGCCTCGAGGTCAAGGTTGCTCTGTGACTCCTGAAGGCCCCTCAACCACCTCTCTGAGAGACGGAAGAAAGCAGACACCCAAATGGCCTGGTCTTGAAATCTCCTGACAGTTTCTGGGCTGGTGACTGAGCGGGAGGGTGCTGAATGATCAGAGAAGGCCTGAAGGAAAAGTCCCAAGCCGGGCTCCTCCCCACTCCAGGCTTTGGCCCCAGTGGCAGGCTTGGCCCTGCCGCAGCCTGGGGTGCCCGGCTAGTAGAGCGCCAGCGCCTGCTCGCGCAGCACTACGCGCTTCTTTTTCATGCGGCGATTTTGGAACCAGATTTTGACCTGCTGGTCACTGAGGTTCAGCCTGTTGGACAACTCCTTGCGCTTCTGCCGGTTGATGAATTCGTTGAGGAGGAATTCGTTCTCCAGCTCGGCAATCTGCTGCTTCGTGTAGGGTTTCCGCTTCTTGCGGGCCCTCCCCGGGGCCGCCCCCCACGGCAGGCCTGCAATACAGCCCCAGCCCATGTCAGCCCGGCCTTCTCCCTGTCGCCTGCCCTCCCCCAGCGGCTCCCTCCCCCTACACGCTCGCCCCAGCACCCCTCCTCCCTTCCCGGCCCAGACTGGCCCAGGGAGCTTGGCCAACGTTTACCGTCGGGCAGCGAAGGTCTCAGGCAAGAGGCGACGCTGGCCGCCTGCACTGTCATGTTCAAGTTGAGCGGGCCCTTGGCGTCGTCCTTGAAACTGGCGGCGGCGCAGGGTGCCCCCTCGAGCAAGGCCGCTGAGCCCGCCGCCGTGCGGCCCACACTCGCGTAGTCGTACTTGGCTGCTTTGAGGGCAGTGGCCCCGGAGGCCAGGCTAGATTCGGGGACGAAGGGCGGCCTCCCACGGCCGCGTTCCTCGGGCCCAGTGGCGGCGTCTGGAGTATAGAACTTGGCCTGCTCTTCGGGGCCATCCTTGGCGCCAGGGGGCTGCAGGCCAAGGGGGCTGGAACCCGCCAAGTAAGGCTGCGAGAAGCCACCGAACGCGGTGGCGCCCGCGGGCTGCGCCGGGGCACACGAGGAGGGCGCGGCGGCCCAGGGCAGAGCGCCGCGCGGGTAGGAGATAGGGGGAAGCGCGGCCAACTGGCCGCCATTCGGCCGCAGGTTGGAGAAGTAGAAGGAGTCGGGCGACTGCAGATTCAGAAGCGAGCCCACATAGCCCGCTCTGTAGAGACTGCGTTCACACATCTCCAACAAAGGGCTTCGGCCGCGCTCGCAGCAGTATTTAGTTACAACCGGGAAGAAGAGGACAGGCTCAGACGATTGGACAAAACTTTGCTTGCAGGTTCTTCAAAGCCGGTCATTTCAGCACCGCCTACATCCCCCGACCCGTTTTCCCCCCCTTCAGGGTATTATGATAACACCCGCAATATTCGATGGCGAACGGCAAGGCTGCGGAACAAAGTCGAGGCGTGCTGAGCTAAAGCTAAGACTTCCGGGCTCAGCTTCAGAACTGGGGGTATCGGGCAGAGGGCGCCTTTGCTCAGCTGTCCCCTGGGACCCTTCCTGGTCTGGATTGGCTTTGCCCTCCCGTTTCCCGCCAGCTACCTGGGCTCGTCTTGTTTCTCCTGCCTTTAAGTTGCGGCCGAGGCCTTTTTTCCAATAACCTGTGCCTCTCGGCTTGTCAGGCAGGGTCCCCAGCTCCATGAAATGGCACTTCGATCTCCATCCCCACCCTCCACAGAAGCTCTCTGGAGTGACTCCTGCACCAAGGATCTAACAGCGAAAACCCACTGCCTGGGCCTTGGGTTCCAGGCCGTAGGCTCAGCCTGGGTGAAGGCTGAGAAGGGCATCACAATCTCTGCCCAAATTTTGCACCCAGAAAGGCTTCACGCCACTTCTGGCGTGCGTTCCCATGGCCAGGGCCTCTGCTGCTAGAGAAGTCGCCATCCGGGTCCACGGAGAATACCAGCCCAGGGGCTGGGCAGCTCCATTTGCCAGTCGCGACCAGAAGCACATTTCTTAGATTTCCAGGAGTAGTCACCTTGGCGACTACACCCTGTAAACCAGAACTCCAAGGTGTCCGTCCATCCCGTGCGGGCAGAGGAGGACGAGTTCTCTCCACTGGGTGTGCCAGGGCAGAAGAGCTAGGGCCACCGGCTGGAGAACAGCGGGGCGCACCCGAGGCAGCCAGCTAGCAGCGCTCCTCGGTTCAGCGCCTCCAAAGGCTCGGGCCGCTGGCAGGTTCGCTGGTCCTGAGAGCAGAGACGCGGGCGGGGCGGTGCTCTCTCCAGGCAACCACCGGGAGCCGTGGGTGCAGCCCCCGCCACAGGCTGTCTTGTCTCGTCTGGCCAGAGGGCTAGGGGTCCTCTCCTCCCGTCTTAAGACCTCCAGCGACCCTGTGACGGGCGCCCGCCCCAGCCTGTAGCCCGCCCCCGGCCCTTGAGCCAAGCTGGAATTGGTTAAAGCCGCCAGCTCCGGCAGAGACCACACAGGCGCCGCCGGAGGGCAAGACTGACCACCGCGCTGCGACTTTATTGTGTGAGTTATGGCGACCAATTGGGCGGCTCTGGGGAACGCAATCGACTTCTTCCTCCCGCTCTAGGGCGGAGGGAGGGGGAAATGAGGTGGGTAAGACCAGGACTCCTCAGGCTCTACTCATTTCCTTGGAGCTCAGGCTTGGGGAGGTGCACACGCGGCCAGTCCTTTCACAGCGGTGTAGGCACAGGCTGCAACCCCAGTTCTCAGGGACTTAGGGGATCCAGGTCTCAGGCCCTGATACCCCTCATTTTGGGGAAACCTCCCTGTTCTCAAGGTACCCAGCATGCCCAGTTCCCAGAGCTCCAGCTCCAGCGATTCATCCCCAACCGGCTTCAGTCTCTGTACCTCCCATCTCAGAGCACAGTGGTCCCCAGCATTTCCAAATTCAGGAGGAGTGTCTCCTCGGGACCCCTGGCAGCCTCACAGCGGCAGTTTGCCCCTCGGGACTAAAGACAGAAAGGAACTAAGTGAGAAACAGAAAAGGTTACAACAGCAGCTCTCTCCGTTGCTCCTTGGCTCACAACAGAGCCCGGTCGCTCCATTTTATCCCCTGGGTTTATGACTTCCGAGACCTGCCAGACAAAGTCAGCTGCTTGGAGCTAGGAACGAGGGACCTGGAGGTGGGGTAGGGCTTTAGAAGACTTGGCATGTAAGATGGAGAATAGGAAAGAGGATTTGGACGTGGAGCTAAAAGGCGAGCTTCGCCAATGCCGCCGACCGCCCAGGAGATGGCGAGCGCGCTCCACGCCTGGCGAGGCGCCGCCCGCACGGTCAAGATCAACAGTGAAGGGCAGCATGGCCAGCCTGGGGTCGCCAGCCCCGCGTTGTCAAGGCCCACTGCCAGGCGCAGCAGAGAGTCTCAGGAAGCCAGAGATCGTGGCGGCAAAGCTGACCTAGGTAGCGGAGCCGGAGGGACCCGGCGGGTTGCCGGGCACTGGGATGCATCGCGGCCGCCCCATTGTCTGGCTGCGAGTCCAGCCTCCAATGCCACCTTGGGCTCTTGCATCACGTGTGCTACGCGGGGCTCGGTCTCCCACTGTCGGCAATCGAAACCTGCCAGGTTTCTGAGATGCTTTTCCTGCGGCCTCGGGATCTTCAGCCGAGAGCGAGGCGCGGCTCCCTCTTTCTCCCAGGCTCCCCGCGGGTCGGCCAGGCTGTGCCGGGGCCAGAACCCGCTCCTTTCCTCCCTCTTCTCCTGCCGCAATTTGGAATATAAAAGGAACGCACATGAACTGCTAAGTCTTCATCTGTTATTGATTTAGCCGTCAATTCAAATTCCACCGGAGAGCGTTTGAGTGCAGTTTTAATCTCCAACAAACCTCCCATTTCTCTAAAGCGGAGGAAATCTGACATGCAAACCACAGATGAAAGCAAAACCCTGAGGCAATCCCCTCACCCGTGTTGGGGAAACCTGAGAAATGTACCTGGGGAATTAAGTGCGGCCTGGAGTTTGTAATTTACAAAAAAAAAAGGGGGCGCTGGGGGGGGGGCAAAGACGGGGAAGAAGGGCAATCAGGCCCGTTTCGGATGAAAACACATCTTGTGAGAAAAATAGCAAAATATTAGTGGTCCTTCTCGAACTAGAAGATCGGGTACCGTGGGTTCTTTCTTTTCCAGAGATAGATTTTTTTTTTTTCTTTAATTAAAACGAAGTTGGTCGCCCGCAGCGGCTCTAAGACGTGAAAGAAATCAAGCTGAGCCAGAGAAAACGAAAGTAGCTCCTAGGCCTTGGTCTCTGCGCTTTCCCTCGCAGAACCATAAGGAAGCCCTTCTGCCAGAGAAGTTTACGTACTGTGTAAGGTTTTTAAAAATTTGTACTTAACTTGCATATTAAAAAGCTAGCCAGCGCTACCTTGATTGAGACGGGCGCTAACAAGGCAGCCCGTTCCTCAGCGGCCATTTCCCTGAGTGGTACAAGGCCTCTAAGAGAAAGTTCGCAGTTGGCGTCTGGAGTTTTAGGGTGAATACTTAGAGTTTCATTCGTCAGTTGTTTTGTGCAGGCTTCACAGAGAAGGTAAAATCCAGTAAGCCTGAAATGTCTGTTTTTCAATTGCCAAATATGGATATGTCTTTCTAATTTCACAAGCTTCTTCTTAGCACTTATAGCATTTCTAGGACAAAAACTTCCAAGAGAGTGAATTTGCCTATACCCAGGCACACACATACTATTGATGTAAGAATAAATAAAACTATCTGAAAAAAAACCTGATACTATTGAAAGAGAAGTAAAATTTTATTGGAGATTTTTTTAACTGCTCTGGTAAAAAAAAAATATATCACTTTAGACACCACAAGTTATATCTCCATTCAAAACATTCCTACTTATGTTAAGGCCAAAGGAAAGGGGGCAGTGTAGCCTAAGTGGGAGAATGGCGGTTTCAGAGACCAGACTTCTGCTGAGTTTCCTTCATCTATAGGGAACATAATAGTGTTCCATACAGCAAGATTTTATAATAAATAAAAATAGAAAAAAGAAAACAAATGTATGAAGACTTAGAGGAAACAAGAGAGTTCTGTTTATTTGCATCTCCCTGGGAGTAAAACTGGATTTTTTTTTAAATGCCTGAAGCTCTGCTCTTGTATTCCAGCTCACAGACATTGCATCTACAAAAATAAACTCTCAGTTGTATAAATATGTAGCACTTTAAAAGTCATTATTTATTGTCATTTTCAGAAGCATCTTCCTTTTTTCTTCTTGGACCGTCGGGCTCTGGATTTTTCACTTTTCTTAGATGCTATGAAGCTCCACAAGAGGCCCAAAGGTGTTTGTTCAGTCAAGTTCTTAATCAGTTTCTGGATAAATGTTTCCCACCCATGGCCACATTGCTCTTTCTTGGGACTGATTTCCCACAGACCCGAAGCCAAGGAAAAGGAGTCCCTGTAAACCATTCGTGGGTCATCCTGCCAATCGCAGCCATTTAAATATCTGCTTCTAGAGCTAGAAGAACGAAGGCACCCATAAGGACACATCTTATTATTTTCAAATTAAAGAATTATACAAAGTAAAATCTGCAAAGTGTATTAAAAGCATACAATTAAAACAGCCAATGAAAAACCTAAAGTCAGAACGATTGTCTTCATTCCAATATCAATACAAACCCTATTTAATAAGGTAGCTGCTTTCAAAGTACCTTCACGGTACCTTCAGCCTCTGCTCTTAAACTTTCCCTGGTGAGCCCCCAGCACTGCCTGCCCAAGGCTGTTTCCACTTGCCTCAGGGGGACTGCTGAGAGCTAATGATTCAATTACCCAATTACAGGATATGAATGACTGCAAATCGTTCTGCCCTAATGGATTATGAAGATAATCAGTGCTGGAAACAGACATACAAAGTGATTTTAAAAATAAACCCTCAAATCCGAATGGCACTTCTGAAATTCATTTTGGGGGGATTATTAAAAAATACGTCAAGTCCTTTATACTGGCCTGGAGGGAGAAACAGAACATTAAAAATGTCATAAAAATAAAGTTAGACAAGAACAATACCAATAATAAACAAGTAAGAAACAGAACTACAAAGTCAGGTTGGGCAGCATAAGATTTTAGAGCCAGATATGTGAAAGAAGGAAAGCAATTCACAAACTGCCATCCGCTGGCAGGGGCTTCGGAATTAAATACTTATTCAAGTCTTTCAAAAGGTCCTTTGGAGACGACTGAACGTTTAGAATCTCTGTGGCCAACCTGGCCCATATCAGGAGACGGTGTCTTTGAGTTTGGAGACGATTTTCTTGTCCTTCACTCTTCGGTTCTGAAACCAAATGGTCACTTGTCTCTCGGATAGGTTCGTGGCAGCCGAGATTCGCCGCCGCTTGTCCTTGTTAATGAACTTGTTAATGGCATACTCATTCTCCAGTTCTTTGAGCTGCAGTTTGGTGTAGGGCACCCTCTTTTTCCTCCCCCGGCGGTAGACACACATGTCCGGCTGGTTTAGAGCCACATCCCCTGGCATAAATAACAGCATGGTAAAAATTAGACCAGAATATCTGCAGCAGCCGGCCGGGGACTGTGTGTGTGCACGTTTTGGGTAGGAGGGCAGTGAATAAAGAAAGCCGGGCTGTTTACACTTAATTATTTACACAGACATTATTTACACATTATTAAGGAAAGATTATTTGCACTTCAAAGTGAAGGCAAATTTGATGGATCATTATGGTTTCTCAAACCGGCATCTTAACAAGCCTGCAGGATTTTATGGCATGGTCAGTGGGGACTCTCAGACGAACAGTTTCTGCAAATGCAGGTCGCACACACAAACATGCACAGACCAAAACCAAACCAAAAACCCTAAGTCTTTTGCTCAAGCTCTGATTTCCTTTGTTTAGAACTTTGGGGATCTAAGGTTTAGTGGCAACCTGAGGCAATTGTACTAGATAAGTGGGGGCCCAACTTTGTGATACCTCTTAGGAAAGAGGCCCTGATGGCGGGGAGGAGAGAGGCTGAGCAAAGAAATGTGCGAAGACCCTCAACTTTAGGAGAAAAACACGTGCATGCACACGCACGCGCGCGCGCGCGCGCGCACACACACACACACACAAGCGCGCAGAAGGAAAAGGGTGTGAACGAGGTGAAATCGTGGGAGGAATTTACAGATTTCACACGAAGTGGACAAACTCTGTCCCACTGGCTTAAGGGCCTGGTCAGCTGTGGAGGACAGCCTCTTATTCCCAAGTAGGGGTCACACTCCTGGGCCTTTCTTTCCCTCTCCTTCCTTCCTAGCCTCCTTTTTATTCCATTGCCCCTACCTGGAAAGGATGATTTCCAAAAGTGGGAGCCCTGCGGCTGGTCCTTGGCGCAGTACACCTGGCTGTTCCACCCGTTGGCCAGAGTCCAGGACTGGTAGCCTTCCATGGAGATGTACGCCTCATGTCGAGGCTCCCCAGAGCCGAAGGTGGACACCATGTCGATGTAGCCGGGTACATGCTGGTAGGGGCTGGTGTAGCCCTGGTAGAAGGACACCTCCTTGGCGCGCGAGGGCACCTCATTGGCCGGTACACTGCTGCTGGCCAGGCCAGACACGTCCATGTACTTCTCCACCGGGAAACCTCCCAGCGAGGCGTGCGGCGACGATTTGAGAGCATTCTGCTGTAAGCCCACGCCATGCGACATGCGGCAGCTATAGTAGCCATTGCCGAAGTGGTAGCCGTAGCCCAGTGCTGGGGCGCCCGGGGGCGCTGCAGCGGCCGCGGTGGCCGCGGGGGCTGGACACTCTTTGGCAGCGGGAGCCTCGGGGCGAGCTGCGGCCACGGCCGCCGCCGACGACGACGACGAGGAGCCTGCGCGCTCTGAGGCCCCGGGGTATGCGAAACCCGAGGCCGCCGCCGCCGCCGCCGCCGCAGCCGCCGCCGCCGCAGCAGCAGCCCGTCCGGAGTGCGCCCCAGCGAAAACCGGCGCCGAGAGGAAGCTGCGGCACTGCCCGGGAGC